AACAGACAATGCCTGAGTATTTCTCGCCAACCAGAAATCCAATTCAATCCAGTGGTATGCATTTCAAAACTACATATATATTTATATTTATTTACAGATGCTTATCTACGCACAGAGAAATATGAATAAAAGTAAATACTTGAAATGAGTAATTGTTTATTTTCTGCCGAATTTTCCATTAATTGCTTAACAAATAATACACGAAAAAGGTAGTCTGTTATAAAATGCATGTCAGTAAGTGAATGATTGGATAAGCGAGCGCAGGAAGCTGAGCAAACAATGGCGACGAGAATTGTGCTCATAAATAAAACTAGAATTTACATATTTATTAAGAGATTACAAGAAAGTATAAATAACAATAACTTTAACTGAGAACAACTCAACGCACAGCAGTGTAACGAAATTAATAAAATTTATGCATTTATTATATTTGTTTAGCATTTTAAAAGGTTTATAAATGTTTAGGCTGGATTGTGGCGGTAAATAAAGCTACTAACTCAATAAAAGAGTAAGACTTACACTTATTTACATAAATACATATGCACTAGTTATATTGTATAAATACTACTACATAGGTACTTACAAATGTATGTATGTATATATGTAGGTACGGATGTTTTACTTAATGAGCGTAATTAGAATGGTTAGTGAAAGTTTTCGGGACAATGACTCACCTTAGGTAGATTTGTTGATAGCATTTCTTTCACCATTTGACCACATTCTGCAAATAAAATTTGAGATATACAGTTTAGTTCGTACATGATATTCACACATATTAAAATCAAGAGAGAGCTTTTATTTATTTAGTTAATACATTTTTACTCACGAGTTTATACATTTCCAATGAATAAAACTGCCACAAGTGCGTTAACTGAGCAAGTGCGACATATTGTCTATCATGCATGTATGCACATTAGGGTTGTCAAAAAAAAAATTTAAAGGCGGAATTTTAATGCTCGCTACGAAAACTTGTTTTCCCCATATAAAATACATGAAAAACTTTGAGCGCTTCGAGGGACTTCTTAATATTTATTTAATTTCAAAATAAAAAAATATGGGTAGTTTTTTTTCGATGTAGAACAATCCGAGGGGGTGAGAGCATTAAAATTCCGGCTTTACTTTTTCAAATGCATTTTTGGTCCACCCTAGTGTACATATGTACATGCATGATGATTGTGCTCACGGTCAATTAATTTCAATTTCAATTAGCTTAACTCGCTAACTGACTGAATTGCATTGCAACATAGCACTCCTAACTTTATGCATACACATATATGTACATGTTTGTTGAACCATTTTTTCATAGTACATAAATAGTATATTTTATGGGTCTGCCAAAACCCAAGGAAAATGCCAAAAAATGTAATTGGGGGATAAGTAAAAAATCGTTAATATTAAAAAATGGTTAATGGTAAAAGTATGTATACTGAAGACAACCCTAGGTTCCGATAGGAAAATATTGATTTTCTATAACCATTTCTACCAAAAAGTTGTGTTTTTCGCATAAAAAATACATGAACAACTTTGAGCTTCCTTGAAATATTTTTTAATTTCAAAATAAAAAATAGTGGCATATTTTTTTCGATATAGAATAATCCTAGGAGGTGAGACCATTAAAATTCCGACTTTACTTATTTTGTACCACCCTAGTGTACATACAGATAGTTACAGAAAATATTGCATCTGCCAATTCGGTCAATTTCGAATAGATTTCACTGTCATCTACCAATCAGTTGTACCCATACATATGCACATAAGCGGTGAGCGTCAAGAATCTACTGAGATTTTGAATATTTACTCGCGTTTCATGTTTATTATTTTGAAAGTAAGAGTATTTAAAGGGTGATTTTATGGGTTCGATTTAAAAAACTGCTTTAAATAATTAATAGTTTTACATACTTATGTACATGTGCCAACAGATTAATTGCATACCTATATACATATGTATGTATTACCCTGCACGCAGTGATGTTAGCTTGAATGCAACTGTCATCTGTTTACGCGAACACTATTGTTGTCTATTTACTGTATACTTTGTTCGATAAATTTAACTACTTTTGAAAACCGACGAGAAAACAAACTCCCGATTACGTCTTCATAACTTTACACCCCAATTTAATTTGTTTTTGTCATAGCTAATTAAAAGTGATGAATTTATCGTTACCTACAAATTAATTATTTTTATCAATTGATAATGTTTCACTGCATGCTATATTGGTGTGCGCCTTATTTGTATAGAGAACATTTTTTTTGTTACCTACAAAGCAAGACCCTCTAAACCGTGCTCTGCGAAAATTTTTCAAAATCTGATAACGGAAAGGCGTGCCTTAAGAGCCCTAATGTTACAAAAGTACGCTAATTCATAAAAGTTTACATAAAATAGGAATAGGAGCCTCAAATTCAGTAAAAATATCCTATTTCTTTGTAACAATCAAATTCCATTTTCAAATCTCGCCAGGTCTGGAAGTTATAGAGCTTATTTTTACATAACTCTTGATGGCCGTTTTCCCGTTATACGATTTTGAAATTTTTTCCCAGTGCACATTTTTATGCTCAGGTGAACCTATCGAGTGGGAGTCTTGCATTGTAGGTCAAAGTTGAAGGCATGCAAGCAAGCACTTTATTCAGCCCTTCTTGGGTAGGCTTCTTAGAATGGCTTTACTTAAAAAGGCCTACCTAAATTATCTTCTGGGTATGTGCTGGAACAGACAAAACGTAGCGATCCCTAAACATTTGCTTACAATTTTGTAATTTTCGTGGATGTCTTTATTTTTTACGTAGAATAAAACAAAAGGGTACCCTAAAAAATTCAGATGTTGATATTTTAAGGACCAACCTATTGTGCATATATCCATATGGGTTAATTTATATGGAATGATTTTTTCGACATCCTTCCTGGCAGATTCGGATTCTACATAAAATTTAGAGCCCCCCATTATTTTATGTATGTATAAGTAAAATTGGTAATTTTCGAAAATTCAGTTAGAAAAATTTAGCGATATTTCTAGAGGGCGCAATGTGTGTATCAAGTTTGATACAGATTTGTGAAGTGGTTTTCGAGATTCACATATTTTACCCGCCCTTTTTGAGTTAACATTTAAATCTTTCTTTAATCGCACATATAAATTCATGGCTTTTATGCATTAAGCGTTTTCATCTAACTATATTAAGAATCTTAATTTAAGATGTTATCTACCGATCACGCAAGATTCCAACTTGTCATGTTTAAATAGTCTGTACAAAATAAAAAAAGATATCCAAATTTGTAATTTAAATGACTAAGATAATACCCGCTCAATCATGAACGTGGTTGGTTGGTTATATATAAAGCAGTACACTACATTCTAGACCCATTAATAAACACTCTTTATGCCCGAGTTAGTTTTATATACATATCAGTACGTATGTATGCATAGATATACAGAAAGCAATATTTGTTTATCTCTTCAATTTGTTTCGCCATTTCGTCACGTCGGAAATGATTCAGCATATTTTGTTCTAACGCTGTTTGTGTACAGTGTAACCCCTTTATATCAAACTCCCCTAAAGAAATTAGTTCTGTGTAATGGAGTTTTTGAAGACAGTACTTTTTTATTGTTTCTCATACATCATGGCTACGCTACGTTTTGAACAGAGGTTTTCTTAAAGAATAACCCTTCTTCAATATAATTTTTTACATACACTGAAATTTTCAGAAATGAAAAAAGAAGTACTGGTAATTCTCATTTTCGTTGTTGGATTTTTCCGACAGCACAATACATCGTAGTAGTAATTTTTTAAATATAACCTTACGCTATGGCAAATGTAATGCCCATATTTAACGAAGTGTGCTCCTTATAGCGCTAAGAAGAGTTTTAAAGAGTAAAAAATTTAAAAATAAATATAGATTTATTTCCATTCTAAATTTTTTTTTTTCGATTGTATTGTGCTTCTAGAAAACGCGAACATTTGCTTATTCAATCAAAATAAAATGTTAATAATTATTTATCAGTGTGCCTTTACTTGAATAACTTAAAGGTTCGAGCTCAACAAGTTCCACTGTAGTACTTATTTATTCTAATTGTTTTGCATTCAACCATTACGTTTTTTTTTACTCGCTCAATTAAATGGTGTGCATACAAATAATTCAACTCAATTTCATTTAAATTGTAAACGTGTATGGAAGTTGTTGTATGTGCAGATGTACTACTTACATAGGTACATGTGTAGATAGTGCATATATGACATTGTGATATTGTCATTGTTGTATCCAATTGTTGTTCTTGTTATCGAACGTACGCGCCAAGTAATTTTTATTAAACACTATGCCTTATAAGTCAGACAACTGTTAATGGAAATGTGAATGGACACACATATGGAGAGAGTTACATATCGTCGCCTGGGCAAAAGATTGTCGCAGTGATGAAATTTGGTTGGATTGCGCCATACTGTGAGCTCAGATATTTACATACTTATGTAGATACATACATACATATATACGCTTTCCGTTTTCAAACACATGCACATATTTCTGTATTACTGCCTATAATTATGCCACATTTTATTAAAACCCAAAAGGTATCACATATTAATTTTAAAATTTATACTACGGTAGTATCGATTTTGAAAATTAGACGAACGAAATAATAATTTTAAGTTTCTGAGTCTCCATAGAGGAATTTGAACTTTGCCCCCTGTGCGACACGCCTTAACCGACTTCAATCGGGGCCAAAATTTATATGTGATATCTGCGACTGTGGTAGCATCGACGTAATGGTTGAGGCTTAGGAAATCAGCTGGAAAACTTTGTGCAAAAGCAAAAAGAGCTCTAGTTGTGGATCAGAAAAAAGCTTATGAAAAATTGAGGCAACGTGTAACCAAATGAAAAAGCCAACAATTTTGTTTATCCATTAGCATTAAGGAAATTAAAAAGCTCTTAAATTTCAAAACTGTAAATACTTGAATTTGCTAGTATTTTTATAAAAAATTAATGAATATTAAACTAACAGAAGACGCCGTAATTAAAATGGCCACCAGCCAGTCAAAACAAAAGAATATCTTTATTATAATAAAAGTCAGCTCAAAACATACATGCATGCAGATAAATATATTAGTTATTTACATAGTAAATTTATTTTATAAAAATAACTTTCAACTAAATGCCTTTGAATACATAAGTATGTACAACTAAGTAACAGCCAGGACTGCCAATTTGCCTCAAATCGTGCCACTTTTAGCCCCCTTTCTACCTCAAGTGGTACTTAAAAAAATACTTTTTGAGCAACTAAAATTTTTCCACTTTCACAGGCGAAAGAATTGGTTTATTTGATTTTTATCTTAGCAACATTTTTACTATATTTCCGAATTAAAATTAAAGCAAGGCACTTTTTAATCCTCAATGCGGCTAAGCTAAGGTACTTGGCAGTCCTGGTAACAGCAGTCATTATAAAGTAATTACCTATCTACAATAGAATACTAGTATACATTTGCTTACAAAAAGAAACATGGTTTAGGAAAATTCCAACACAGTATTTGTGCGAACTTTTAAAGCTTATGAGCCGTATTTTCAAAGTCACTGCTTAATGTGTCTTCAATTTTAGATATGTACAAATGTTCCTTTACATGCAGGATATCTATTTATAGTTTTGTGAAATATGGCAGGAACGATAAAACAGTGGCACAACCGAGTGATATTATTCCAACGTCGTCTTCTTGTTCTTACGCAATAGATCTTCGACTATCCAAAAGGTAATCGCTATGATATTGAGTCCGTTAAGAAAATGCAGGGTGTAACCATAATCCGTCGCATCGCGTATGAGACCTGTAAAAAGCAATATTGACATTATTCGTTCCAGTTCTAAATATGTACCAAAATTCAAATATGTATATGTATTTTCCATAAATTTCGTCATTCTTTCGTACACTCACCGACCAGTGGTCCGAAGACCAACGAGAAAATAC